TTCATAGAGAAAAATAAAAAAAATTACAAGCCAATATTTGATGACCAAAATATTCTATGACTTGCACTATTATTTTCCTTCTTCTTTCTAGGTCCATAAGGTTTTGGTTCAAGCCTTTTTGGCAACCATGGGCTTAAACTCCCAAAATACCAAAAATTGGCAAGAAATTTTCTTGGAAACCATAGCTGTTACGATTGTTGTGCCTCTGTATGACGTCCGATTGATACGAAGTTTTACAGGAAGGACCACCTTGATGAGACGAAGCCATGGCCATTGAAATCACCCTAAACGGAGCTGGCACATGCTCTATCTTTCCTGGAGAGTGAAGCCCACTCGAAAATACTTCCGGTGGAGAATGAGGGTGCGTCCGGCCTGCGTTTTGCGTGATTCAACTTTTGTTTGACTCAATTTTTCGTTATAAATTTTTCTACGGTCTGAAATTTTCAATCGGAGGTCGTATTCATCACGAGCAAGTACAAAATAGTCGTGAATGTCTTTTTTTGCATCTTCTTTCATTACAATTTTGTAATACAACAAAAATATATATAAAAAAATTAAAATAAAAAATCAAGGAGAAAAATTAATTATAAGGGATTAGCCTTCTTGTACAACCCAAGAAAATACAACCACATCTCTATTATGGATTAAAGCCAAAAACCAAATAAAAGCATTGATTTTTATAAAAAGGATTATAATGGATAGACATGCCAATATATAATAACAAATATAGAAACCTAGGTGCCATGTTTCACGATACTAACTAATTACATGAAAATTGTAAATCAAAACTAGATCCACATACAAACACGCAATCTAGCTCTGAAATGAGCTTAGCTCATGGAGATGACTTTATCTCAGCCTCTACAACTACCAAGTGAAGACTCGAGAGGCTGATGACTATAAGTGTAAAATATATACGGGTTTCAGGAAACACTAGCCCTAAGCTGATGAGCTTTAAGTTTTTTGGGTTCTTCTTACACACTAGACTCTATTGGGCTTTAGTGAAAGAACAAAATCCAATATTTGCTTCCTACATTTGTCTCAACCTTTAGAACATTATCCCATTTTATGTCAAAGTCGACAATTGTGATGCTCTAACTTGTAGGTTGGCCTGTTATGCCATGCTCTTCTGTTATAGTCAGATACCTTCTCGTTGGACCTTTTTATTGATTTAACCTCAAAGGTTTCAACATCGTTTTAAGGTACAATGGTTAGCCACCCTTGGTTCAATCATGACCAATTATGCTCAGATAACAAAGATATTCTCCTATGACAAAAGATAAGTAGCCATTGTTTTTCCCCTGCCCTAATGTTTCTTTGCAACTTTATAAACCAGATACACAAGATTCACCCATTTCCTGTTTGATGTGCTTCACTAGCCTTCTCTCTCCTCTACCAAATCCTAAATCCACGTAACCAAAAAAAATAATCCTAAATCCACTGTTCCTCAACACCACTTGCTAGCCATCCCAACACTAATGCATGTCCTAATTTTAGGATACTTTCTTTGTGCTTGCATCCTAGTCCCCTAGTTGACCGCACAACCATTGTATTTTACATTTTCCAATTGGGGCACCTTGATCAAACATATTCAATCATTTATCTTTTTACCTAGACATTTCCTAAGCTCGATCTTTCCCTGTTCTTGATCTATTTTCTCACTCCCTCTAGCTCTCTATATGTATCTTCTCTTGCAATTTTTTTATCTTCTCAACTTCCTGTTTAAAGCATGTAAAGAACCAATTCAACCTAAAAGCTTAAGCTGTTGGGTGAGGCTAAATTAATAATTTCATATATCTCAACACGCCCCCTCACACGAGAGCCCACTGGGCTTGAAGGGTGGACAATGCACAGGCCCACCTACCTGTGCGAACAAAGAAATTCCACTAGAAAGAAAGTGGGGGGCAGTGAGGATCGAACCCGGTACACGAGGCTGCCTAACAAGATCCGCATCTTTCTGGTAGACCCGCTGTCTACCGAGTAAAGATCTTCCCAGAAATTGTCACCGTCGTTAGTTTTCGACCACCGTCTGCCACCATCGTCCTCCACCAGAAAAGTTTTCTGGCGACCGTTCTGATCAAAAAGTACATCAACGGTCTCAGAAGAAGCCGATCTACCCAACGCTGCAAGACCCACCATCATCAGAGGTTGCCAGCGCCGTGGACCACTATTTGACTGTCGTTGACCGCCACCGCAGATCACTTTTCCAGCACTTTTTTCGGCGAGCCACCCACAGTTGTTATCGTCACAAGGAGGCGGTTCTTTTCGTCCAAGGCTCGCTCCCAAATTCCCACTGACGCACCCTCAAGCGCGTGAAATATATGTGCGGGTTCCACCATCAGGATCGCCCTCTCCTTCCGTGTTCAGATCGATCCTTACATTGTGGTTTTGAGTCCGTTGCGGCCCTTTCGAAGCATTTCTCCTCTTTCCATTACTATTCACGACATCTTTGTTTCAGTGAATTGTTCTTGATCCATGGCTGATTCTAGCTCATTTATCCTTCCTCAAGATATTTCTCAACTCACGATCCCTAGTTCTACTGCTACTGTTGTGCATACAGGTAATATTGTTGCTGGTTTCACTCAAAGTTCATCATTTGGTCATTGGGTTCTTGATTCTGGTGCCTCTAATCATATTTCTGGTAATAAATCTTTGTTTTCCTCTATTTCTATCTCTGGTTATTTTCATGCTGTCGCTATGGCTAATGGTTCCCAGGTTCAGTCTCATGGGATTGGAACAATACATCTCTTTCCCTCCATTACTATTGATAATGTGCTCTATGTCCCTGGTTCACCCTTTTAATCTCCTTTCCATTAGCCGTTTAATACGTTCTCTTGATTGTCTAATTTTTTTTACCCAAAGTTCTGTTGTTTTACAGGATCAAAATTCGGGGAGGACAATTGGCGGCGGATTTGAGTCCAATGGCTTTTACTTGCTATCCAGCTTCTCTCATGCTCATTCTGTATTAGATTCTCCACTCACTATTCACGATTAGTTGGGTCATCCTAGTCTTACAAAGCTCTAGAAGATGGTGCCACATTCGTCCAAGCTATCCACTTTGCAATGTGAATCATGTCAATTCGGGAAACATACTCGCAGTTCTTTTCCTGATAGAGTCAATCGTCGTGCCTCCTCTCCTTTTAGCTTGGTTCACTCTGATGTTTGGGGACCCAGTCGTACTGAATCAACTCGGGGTTATAGATATTTTGTTACCTTTATTGACGATTATTCTTGAAACACTTGGTTATTTTTACTGAAAAACCGCTCTAAGTTGTTCTCCATATTTCAGAAGTTTTATCATGAAATTCTTACTCAATTTGATATTCCTATCCGCACTTTTCGTAGTGATAATGCTTGTGAGTATCTGTCTCAACCATTTCAATCATTCATGGCCTCTCACAACATTCTTCACCACACATTATATGCTCACACCCCCTAACAAAACGGGGTTGCTGAAAGAGAAAATCGTCATCTTATTGAAACAGCCTGGACACTCTTAATTCATGGGAATGTTCCTACCAGTTTTTGAGATGATGCTGTTCTCACCGCATGCTATCTCATTAATCGTATGTCTTCCTCTGTCCTTGGTAACCAGGTACCGTGCTCTATCTTATTTTCCCATCAGCTTTTACATTCCTTACCCCTTCGTATTTTTGGTTCTACTTGTTTTTTTCATGAACTCGGTCCCAATCGTGACAAGTTGTCTGCCAAATCTCACAAATGTGTGTTCCTTGGTTACACTCGGACACAAAAAGGTTATCGGTGTTACTCTCCCAGTCTCCGTCGCTCTTTTGTCTCGGCGGATGTTACTTTTTTTGACTCTGATACCATGTAAAAAATCAATTCAACCCAAAAGCTTAAGCTGTTAGGTGAGGTTAAATTAATGATTTTATATATCTCAACAAAGCATATGCTTCAATTACCAATCAACATTAGCAAAGCTCTAGTGGATATATCAAGGTCCTACAAATTAAATAGAATTCCTACAATGTACAATTGTTTAATTTATTTTTTAAATGGATATCCAAAATGGTTATAACTTTTAAATTACTGATTTGCTAAAGTTATAAACAACTCTGATCAATGTATAACTATATATAGATTAGCGAGTCATAAATAGATGAAAGGTTACGTTATTCAAGTTTAGTGAATGTTTATATAAGTTTATGTAGATTAAGGTGGTCATCAATTTGATCAAGTTGCATATGACTAGTACAGGTGAAGGCATGCCAAGTAGGGGTGTGAACGTTTCAGTTTGGTTCAATTCGGGTAAACTGAATCAGTTTTAAAAGGTGGTTAAGTTCTTCAACCTCTTCAGAGAAAATGGTTCAGTTTTTAAAACCGGTTTGGAAAAATGTGGTTTGGTTTGAGTTTAGTTCTGCTTTTAGCCCAAACTGAACCAAGTTGGTAATGTGATTTGGTTGTTTAATCAAACCAATTTTGAAAAAATGATTCAGTTTTTGTACCGCGGTTAGAAGAAAACGGTTCAGTTCTTGAACCAGTTCAAGTATGGTTTTTTTAGTGTAGTTTGGATCAATTCACAATTCAATTCAGTTCATTTGATTTTTTTTGCACACTCTTAAATTGCTGAACAAATTTAGTAAATATTTATACAAGTTTTATATGTTACTCATAAAAAGTATGATAAACTGTTACTTATTTAAATTTTGACTATCACAACTGAATTTTTTTATCTTATTTGACCATGGCTGATATTTAATTGGTAAGATGTCTAATTGAAAATTATCTATAAAATTTAAAGATCAAGATTCAAGAACATGTTCGACAATCCTTAGAGCTGTAAACTGAAAAAAATCATTGATACTGCAGTACAATAACTTTAAATTAAATAATCATCATTCATTTAACAATCATGTAAAATTCAGAAAAAAATTTAAAGAAAAAAAACTCAAACAAAGAATATGTCAATAACTTGACAACGGGTCGACTCAAACTCTTGTTGTAATAACAAAACAAAGCTCCAGAATTGGCACTTTCTCTCAGGCAAAGATGGCTGAAACGGCAACAATGGCTGCCATGAGGACCCCAGATAAAGAAGAAACAACAGCAGAAGAAGGAGCAGGTGCAGGACCTTCGGATACAACATTAATAACAAGCTTCATTTGATGAACAGCACAGTGGTTTGCAACGCCACAAACGTACCACTTCTTCCCTTCAAGTTTCAGTTGAATAACGTCATTTCCGCTTGTAAGTGCATCATTTGGTGGGGGAAAGCTGCAATTCTGGAATTGTGTACCATTCACTTTGAACACATTGTGTTTCGCGTTGTCATAATTGAACACTGCAAAATTAATAGATAAATGAGTTCATCTTAGACTACAGGTTCTATATACCAAAAAAAAAAGTCTCGCCTAATAACATAATAGAAACAAACAATGTACATCTTTACATCAAATTTTGCACACCATTTAGCATGTATTCTTGTGGTAACTGTTGGTTAATTAATTGTTCATCACCAGTGACCAGTGTGAATATATATGAAAGCAAGAAATAATGTGTGAATAGAATAACTAACTTACATCATACTAGTGTTAAAAGCACTAGTAAAAAATATTTAGAATTTTAGTAGATTTAATGGTTGTTGTTAGATTAAATAAATGTTACACAGCCATAGAGTACTTGATAGAATTCCAACAGAATCCACCAAAATTTAATGGTGATTGTTAATTAACGTAAAGTAGTACATATCACTCATTTATCTAAAAGTCAATAACATACATATCAACTAATTCTATTAATTCTACCAAAAAATTTTAATTGCATATAATTTTTCAAAAAAATAATAATTTACGCGCCATTTTAATCATACCATCCTTACGTCGCATGCTTTGGAATAATAATAATAAAAAGCCATTTGTAGTACACACTCATTCCATCTTTTCTTATCCTAAATATGCCAAGTTTTAAAAATAGTATAATGATGTAATATGTAAATAACATGTTGATTGATAATTTTGTCCCTATTTTACATTATTTTTTTTACTATTATGTCTCTTTTCTTAAATTATATCTACTCAAATTATACATCAATCTGTTCTTATTTGATCCAAATTTAGTTAAACTCTAGTTCTTGATAAATTATTTACTCCAACAAGCATTGATCAAATTTTGATTAAACAGAAATAAATTAATATATAATTTGAAAAAAAATGGTATATATATATATATAAAATTTGAGAAGAGGGATGAAATAATAATTTTATTTAAAATAAGTGCAAAATATATAATCAAAGGCCCTAGATAATAGAAAACAAAATGATAGAAAAAAAAAAACATTCCTCCACACAAAAGTTAGTGAGCACGACAAATTATTAAGTGCCAGTCAAATTCTGAATTAAATAGAAATCTGTTTACATACCAAGGTTGTCCCCAACACGGAAAACTTTGTCCCGAGCCCACTGTGTGTAGTTAAAATCAATAGTCCAGCCATTCTGATCTCCCACAACGTAATCAGTTGCCATAGCAACTGAGGAAAACAAAATCATGGAGATGGCTAGGAGTAAGGCAATGCGAGTAAAAGCCATTTGATTTGAACTAAGAAAGTTAAAAGCTACGTGCTTAAAATCTCAAACAAGTACTTGAATATAGCTAGCAAATGTTATTGCTTAGATGAATTGTTAGCTCACACCATTTGCTATATATAGGACTTGCATGCATATTGATTTTAATATACATATGGAAGCCTTGCAAGAGGAGGGGCGCGTGGGGTATCGGATCTGGCCGGCATTTACAACAATGAGTTGGACAGTTGTGATGGAGTACTAGGAGTCATGAATAGAATTATACTTTGATCGAATTTGACTATAAACAAAGGGACAGAATCCGTTTACAAACTTTTTTTGCAATTACACTAATGTAGGACCGGTCGTACACTGTGTGATTAATGTAGGACCGGTCCTACATAGTGTAGTTTGTAAAAGTTTGTAAACAAAAAAGTTTGTAAATATAACCTGCACCGTAAACAAATATGTTACTTCTTTTGTTTTGGAATGGGTGAATATATATGCCATGTGGAACATGTCGAAGGGAAATGGGAAAAGAGTAGATTTGTTCCCTCGACCTGCCTTATGCACTTCCATATGATTCTTAGGCTTCCAAATGTGTACCTACAATGTAAGGATGAAAAAGAGGAGTTTTTTTTTTTTTTTTTTAAATGTAAATGTAAAGATAAGGGCTCATCTGATAGACATAATAGGATGAAGACAAATAATAATAAGATAATAATGTTGGATCAGAGTAGAAAAGTATATGAGCTTGCTCATATTTTATCTTGTGATTGATATGTATTCTAAACAAACTGATAAGATTATATTATCTTATTATATATAATCTTATTATTTGTTTGATGTGGATTAAAATAATATCGGAATAAGATGTAAATAGACATAAATACTCTTTATAAAATTTCAAAAAAAAAAAACCTTTATAATATATATTACGGGTCATGGTCATTTTACACCAATATAAGTTGCACTCTCAATCTTAATTATTAATTTTATTTATATATAACAACTCTGGTTTATTAAATATGTGAGCTGTTAACTACAAATAAATCAATGAATAAAACAAAATACAAAACTTTTTTTGGATACAATTAGAAATTGAACACAACCTAATACAAACTATCCAAACTCCTCGTCATTAGACCAAACCTAATTGCTTTAAATATAAAAAGTTTTTTAAATATAAAATTTTTTATTCTTACAACCTGCCCCTAATTTTATATAAAACTTTTTTAAATTTGAGATTTTTAAACTATTTTTTCATTTGACTTATTTATATGTTAGTTTTATTTTAAATTATTAAAAAAAATTAGAAGTCATAATTCTAAAAAATATTAAATACATAACTAACCTGCAAAATTTTCCAAAATGGAAAAAATTAAATCTTCAACAAATAAATTGTAAAAATAAATTTTAAATTGATTATCAATATTTATATATATGTAACACGACAAAAACAATTTAAATAACATTAACACGAATGATGCGAGTAATACGGACTAGCGGGTGGCGATGTGGTTGGCAGTGGTGGTGAGGCATGGCTGGCGGAGATAGAGAGTTGTTTGATGGTGATGGGTGGCCAATGGTGGGGACTTGTTGGTGGCCGTGGTTGACTACTAGCGAAGGCTGGCAACATTCACAACGAAGTACTAAGGCACTGCTTTTTGGTGCAGAAAAAAAAAAAGGTTGGATTTTTTAAAAAGAGGATCACAAACACTTGGAAAAATCTTGTGTTTGGCAAGTGGCTTCTTACACAGGATGCTTACGGAACACTTCGAGGGGGTGAATAGGTATTTTAAACTTTTTCAAAAATTTGTTTGAATTCAGTAAACAATTACACAATTTTTATTCAGTCCCTATATGTCCAAAATAATTTTTCACAATGCTAAAAATAATGTAGTAACAGAATGCGTACCTTAGCAATTTATAGAGTATAAAGACAACAATGTAATTTTCTTAAACAAAACAGAAAATGATTAATTTCCAAATACCAGAAATCAGTTTAAGTGCTACAGCAATTATAATAGAATCAGTAAGGTGCTACAACACTTTCAAACCAGAATCAGAGTAACTGTCAGTCTCTCAACAAAATATTCAGAAATCAAATCAGAGAGACAAGAGACACACGATATATCCTGGTTCTAGGGGTGTTCACGGTCTGGATTGGATCGGTTTTAGAAGGAAAAATATGATCCAATCCCTTCGGTTTGATCATATAATCATCCATTCGGTTTGGATTTTTTTCAAATCCGATCCGATCCAATACAATTTTTTTCGGTTTGGATTGGATCGGTTTTTGGTGTTTTGAAAATCATAAAATTTATTTCATGATTTTTGTGCAAATAACATCTTTTGTATATATTGACTTTGTAATTCTTTTTTTTTTTTTTTTGAAATACAAAAGCATTAGTAAACTATAATATAACTTTTTTTTGGGCAATGAGATATGAAGCTCTACAAAGATAAAATTTTGGTAATGAGATGTTAATAGATTTTTTCTTGGATTTAGTTGATGGGTTAATGGGTCTTGGGTTTATAAATTTTTGGGCTATGATTGGGGAAAAACCCAAGTAGATAGAGAGAAATTAATATATTGGATCGGTTTGGATTGGATCGGTTTTCATCAACCCATCCAAAAACCGATCCAATCCAATTAAAATTTGCGGGTTTTTTTCGGTTTTCGGTTTATTAGGTTATCGGTTTTTCGGTTCGGTCACCGCGGTTTGAATCAGTTTGGATCGGTTGATGAACACCCCTACCTGGTTCACACCCACTAAGCCTAAGTAGGGTGCTACGTCCAGACTGAAGTAGCTGCAGATATTTTATTTATCACAAGTGTACCTGTTTTACAAACACGCGTCACACAAGCAATCAAACAAGATATCAAAAATCTTCCTAGTGCCTACACTGCTCCAAGCTCTGAGAATACTCTCAAGCTGAACCTACGGAGTTCACCAACTCCTCTCACACAAGACTTCCACTCTCCCTAGTGGATTCTTGAGGCTCCAAGCCTTGAGACACACTCTCAAGCCAAGTACAAGGTCGCCAACCCACTCGGTTGCACCCACACACCTAGGACAGATTTACAGCACACAACTACTTCACTTTAACAATCAATACATAATTTTTCAGAACTGTGTAACAAGTGAAATAATCCAAAAATACAGTGTCCTATCACACCAAATATATCAAGGTAATATCAAACTAAGCTCCACAAATTTATGTCATATGCAGAAAATTAAACCAATGAGATATGTATCAAAATCTCTAAAATTAATGCACAAATGAGCTTGGATATTACACAATTAATTTTCTAAACAATGGGTACCAAGAAATCTAATTTAAACAGAAAATATCACAATTATAACTAAAAAAATCATATTTGAAATTTATCTCAAAATTTCATATAAAATCAGAATTAATTCTAGATTAATCTTCTAACACAGAACCACAAGAAAATCTGAATTAAACACAATATGCCTCAATGAAACCAGAAATTCAGATTTAACATGCTTAACCAAAATTCTTCAAGATTTCAGAATATAGGGTTCAAATAGAAATATTAACCAAGACTATGAGTAGATTAGAGTTTACCAAAATGAAACCCCAAAAGATTATATGAGTTGTTCTCACAAGAACACCAAATATTCAGTATATTTCAGATATCAAGAGATCTAGCCTACTCTTAAATTGTGATCTGGTTTTGAGAAGATTTTCTTCTCTTGAAAAATTTTCTTGCTTCCTAAACTCTTGACAATGTCGAAGAACAGAGAGAACTGCTTGAAGAATTTTATTTTCTACACCAATTGAAAAATTTCAAAGAACAGAGACTGTGAGTGAGTAAAGAGCGTTGTTATCAAAAGTGAGAGAAAGCAAACTTTTCTTTTGCTTCAGATGTCTTTTTCTTGGTATATGTGATGTAGTGCCTTTTCACACTTTTCTTTTATTACTTTTTGTATATCCTTCATTAAGCATAAAACCAACGTTGACAATGACAGGCTAAGTTCCTTTTTTTTGTATTCAGTGAAGTAATTTTTCAATTTCACATTTTATTACTATTATATATTATATTAAAGGGGAAGGATATTGTGATAACCAAGTTGTGTTATTACCAAGTGACTACCAATCAATCTTACTGTTAGATCGAATATATTGATCCAACGGTTATATTTATTTCTATCTTTGTATGGGCATGATACTCCAAATTTAATACTTTATATTTATTTTCACCTTTGTATGGTTATGATTTCTCATATTTAATGCTTTCACTTTAAATATGGGGAATCATGACCATACAAAGATGGAAATAAATATAACCGTTGGATCAACATAATCGATCTAACGGTGAGATTGATTGGTAGTCACTTGGTAGTAACACAACTTGGTTGTCACAATATCATTCCCCTATATTAAAACCTAAAGTTCATATATATATATATATATATATGCGCTTGCAATTTCTCATGTTGCATGAGAAATGCAAATTTTCCTACAGAGAGAGAAAGGAGTGGGGCCCACTTTAAAGAAAAAAATAAAAAACAGAAAAAGTGATTGGCACGGATATCGAAGTGAGATTGGTAGGAGAGGAGAATTCTCATGTAACATAAGAAGTCTTTTTTCCTATATATATATATATATATATATGATTGATTTAGCTTTATTATATTACTTTTACCTTTTGTTTTTTTTTAAACAGATTTTTAATTGATTTTTGTATTTAATATTTTTGAAACATATTTTTATCAAAATCAAAATCATTATTATTTATTATGAAATTAGCATGATATGCAATAATATGTATTGACATGCAATGAAGCTTAGATAGATACTATACGATATAATAGTGTGTAACAAAATTTCTAAAAATACCTAACCACTTGTATCTTCAAACTCCAACTTCAATTTGGGACTTTTTATAAACCCGTCATCATCAAAATATATATTCCATTATGTTTAAGAGGTCTTCATCTTGGACTCTTGCTGGGATTTTGGAGAAGACAATGAGCCTTAGCTGTTGTGGA